TATTAGGAGCACTTTTTCACTTTCCTGACACACGCAACCTGATGGATTGAATTTCTAGAAATTAACGCAACAAATATCCTGACGGAACCGGACTGATCACGATTGTACAACCACAAATTATCCAACGATAGATTAGGTCTCGCTGTGTTCGCTTGCGTTCTATAGGAGAATTAACCGTGTCCACAGCTCTTTGTGGTTCTGCTTGACATTGTGTTATTCATCGGGTTTGTCACTTGATCTCCGAGTTTAGGTGAGTACAATTCCGATTACGCTCATTCTATGAACATCATTATCAACACCCAAACCTTCGAATTCTTCAATGTTTCCTGATGGCCTTTGACTGACTGCAGTCTGCTTCCTGAGAACTGCTCACCGTCTGTGATATAGAAAATGGTAAAACCCTATGATTTCCACCTCAGTCAAGGAAATAATTAAGAGAACATAACCAATTCGAGCACTGAATGTATTGGATCAATGTATTGGATCATCAACAGTTGTGATCAACAGCACTCATCAGATCCATATATGATCGTATTTAAAATGGAATGATGTATGATCTGGTAACACTGGATTGTACGCGGTCGGTCCCGGATTAACGAAAGCATCTTTTCCACCAGGACATGAAACTGTCATACCTGCCCCGGGAACCATGTCACCCATACCCAAACCAATTGGTAAATTTGGCGGTAACCAACGCGGAACGTTGGATAGGAACGGTGCTGTGGACATGAATCTCGGTGTGATTAAATCCCGACGCAAATTGTAAGATCCCGGACCGGGAAGTTCTGTGGATTCGTTGATCATTTTCGGATTATTCGCTCGCGTTCGGGACTTTCTGAAATGGATACGCATATGCAAACAAACACTTGAAATTTCACTAACCAACCAGGTTCGAATCAGGGACAACTGGACAAACGAGGAAATTTCAAATCAATATTGTCATGGCTTATTGACGGAATAAATTCATCGTTTAATGGAAGTAAGCAGGGTTGAGTGAATTACTCGCCCCGCTGCTACCTTTCACAGATTCCACGATTCTACATCTCATGGTTCGGTTCTATCCAGGAATCAGACAGTATTTAATTCTGACCATTCACATTTTAGATCACAAAATAAACCCATTCTTTTTGCCAGAACACAAATCTCAGGCGGACATGTTTTCGATGATTTCCTCCTCATGCGGTTACAACCAACACCGCTGGGTAAGAACGATTGAGAGGACGGATATTTTTCAGATAAGCCCTGCAATGCAAAAGGTTCATGCGCGAAAAGTTAAGCCCCGCCACTTTTGCACACAAACTTGACCTATTTTTGATGAAAACAATTCCTTATCCGCGACGTGGTGGAGTCAGACAGTCGAGAGCACTTTATGCCAACCAATCAGTCTATTACGTCTCGAAAGCTCTATTGGCAGTATTGTGCGTGACACGCCCACAGCCCGTATTGTGGACGGTGAACTCGAAATGGTGCGGTGCATCACTTATCCATAGTTTACGTCTGTGCATGAGACCATTGTACGCGTAAACCAAACGAAGTGCCTGGGTTGACCCACACCGAATGATTACTCGTCGGTTTGGTTTTCCCGAGCTATTCATGCATGATATCCTGAAGGGCTCGTTTCCTTGTTCCAGTGTGAGCTGTTTATTGCGTACGTTTTCTCCAATTCCTGTTGGCGAAGGTTTTTCCACATGATCATGTGATAAAAACGAGTCCCTATGTGTTACGTATTCACACATTGTGGAGAAGTGCGTGCTCTACGACGACACATTGTAGATTTGAACTGAACGGGGGTAATACGATTGCAAGTTCATTCACAGATCGTCAATCCAATCAGCCATTTAGAGCGGTTCGATTCTGAATAACTTTAATGGTTAAACACATTTTTGCAGGCAGCGCATAGATCAGCGTGACGCCACCAGCACGCTCGCGACGCGCAAGGTAAGTCGAGCTCGGATTGGCTGACTGCAGAACGAATCAGACAGCACTTGTCCAATCGGTCAATCGGAGTGTCAAGGACGCAACCTGATTCGTTGGTCACTGTACCGTTCTCGTATGCCCAACCGGCCCTTTATGCTTACGAATGGCATTCTGATCCTAGAGTATACTCAGGCTCTTGTGTCTTGTCGTGTGCTCTCCCTCTGCGCTGTTGTTGGGGCTTAAGAAAGAGGTGTTCGTGTTAATGCTAGTTCCATACCGATCACAACAGT